GGTGCACCCCAACACAGAGCACAGCTCCCGTCCCTGGCCGATGAGCACCCTCTGACAGCGCGGCCAGAGGAAGGCAAGAGCCTGTTCACAGCTGATGCAGCATTCACAAAGTCATCCTGCCCCACACACGTTTTTGCAAGCCCAGGGTGCCAGCCCCATTGCTGGGACACCCTGGAGCTATGTGGGCTCTGCCACTGGGGTGATGGACCCCAAAGCCCAGTGGGGTGCTCTAAACCCAGGCACATCACTGGCAGTCCCAATGAGGTGGGTCATGACTTGCTCGCAGAGGACCAAACATCCTTGTGGTGGCAGCGCTTAGGGAGGGGGTGTCCTGCCATCCCTCTTGCCACCCCTTTGCTCCACATCCCTTCACAGGAGGGACCCTGCATCAGGCCGTTATGTAAATGTTTCCGATTGATTGGAAAAATGGGTCATGTGTTAGCTCCAAATGCTCCTGGCTCCGAGATTTATCAGCATTATTAAATTAAGCACGCTTCATGCTCCGCTGAGCCGCAAAGCGACATTGGCCTTTTCTTACTCGTACTAGCAAAAGGTAAGTCTCTTATAGGGGGGCTCCTAAGCTCAATGGAAAGGATGGGAACAATAGAGCCATTTACCCGGGGTGCAAGCTCCCACCACGCCCCCCCCCAGCCTTTATTCTTCACAGACAAAGGGCTGGGAAAAAACGATCCCTCAAACAGCATTTTGAGCACTTTAGAGCACTTGCTGCCTGCAGAGAGACCCATCTCGGACCCTTCCTCTTCACTGTTGTGCTCTCCCTAGCTCGCAGCAGCTTTGAAATGGCTTATTTGTCCATCTACTTGAGAGCCCCGAGGACACCATTACATCCAGTCTGGTGGGTAGAGTAGATCCAGAGCCCAACTCCAACCCACTGCAAAGCAGGTGCAGTCCCGCAGAGAGCAAAGAGGCAGCATTAGGAGGCAGAAGTGTTAAGCTGGGCCTCAAAATCATATAGTCCCAGGGTGGTTTGTGTTGGAAGAGACCTTAAAGCCCATCCAGTTCCAACCCCTGCCACGGGCAGGGACACCTTCCACTAGAGCACGTTGCTCCAAGCCCCTGTGTCCAACCTGGCCTTGAACACTGCCA